ATCCCTGATTGCACCACGCTGTGACATGTCCCTGAACGCACCACGCTTTGTCCCTGAACGCACCACGCCGTGACATGTCCCTGAAGGCATCACACTGTGACATGTCCCTGAATGCACCACGCTGTGACGTCCATGAATTCACCACGCTGTGACGTCCATGAACACACCACGTTGTGACATGTCCCTGAACGCACCACGTTGTGACATGTCCCTGAACGCGCTACACTGTGACATGTCCCTGAACGCACCACGCTGTGACATGTCCCTGAATATACCACATTGTGACATGTCCCTGAACGCACCACACTGACATGTCCCTGAACGCATTATGTGGTGACATGTCCCTGAACATATCACTCGGTGATATGTCCCTGTATGCACCACTCTGTGACATGTCCCTGAACGCACCACACTGACATGTCCCTAAACACACCATGTTGTGATATGCTCCTGAACACACCACGCTGTGACATGTCCCTGAACACACCACGCTGTGACATGTCCCTGAACGCACCACGCTGTGACATGTTTCTGAACGCACCACGCTGTGACATATTCCTGAATTTACCACACTTTGACATGTTCCTGAATGCATCAGGCTGTGACATGTCCCTGAACGCACCATGCTGTGACCTGTCCCTGAATGCACCACACTTTGACATGTTCCTGAACGCACCACACTCTGATGTCCCTGAACGCACCAAGCTGTGAAATGTCCCTGAAAGTATCACGCTGCGACATGTCCCTGAACGTACCACATTGTGACATGTCCCTGAGTGCATCACACCATGAGATGTCCCTGAACGCACCACACCACACTGTTGTTGTTCTGCCTCTGAGCTGCTGTTTAGAAACGTTTTATTGCTGCTTCTTTAATATTCGTCAACATTTCTCCTCCCTGTTAATTAGTGTTTTGAATATTTTAGATATTTTAAATAATATTTAATATTTTAAAATAATTTGTATAATTTCTTTTTAGCTAAGAATCTCTTCCTGCTGTCCGCTCCATCGTTGACCTTTGACCTCAACATTTATCTCTGAGATCTTCAGGTTTACGACTTCAGGGAGCTCCTCCGTGTCCCTGGAGTGACTTCGGCTGCTTTCATCGCCGTCGTTGGTGTTTACAGACTTAAATCAGGGGCAGTGAAGGTGTCAGCAGCTGAAGGAGCCGAAGTCCCTGAAGGCCTCCTAATGGAGTCGTGACTCGCAGCTAATCGCTGCGAACGAGGAGCGAGTAAACACTCCGACAGCTTCTGAGAGCCATGCTTACTTCAGGGACAATCTGAAATCAGAGGATATTTATTGTTTCTGTGTTCCAGGAATCAATTAGAAGGTGCAGAAGGGTTCCACGCACGTTCAGGCTTTTAATAATTTCTTGTTTGTTTCAGGCTGAATTGTTGTTTATTTTCTCTTAGTTATAAAACAGGTTCATCACTAGAAGGTCTTTTATGTTGAAAAGGCCTCTGAACTTCCTGTTGGTGATCATGATCGACTGCAGCTGGTAGTTTGATCGGACCGAAGACCTGAGGAGGAGAATTAAAGTTTAAAACCAGTTGAACAAAAAGTTTTGAGACTAAAAACAAACAAAAAGCTTCAGATTCTAAACTTTAGAAAAAAACAAAATGTCAACGTTTGGACAAGGAGACAGTCTGTCCCCTCAGACGAAGAAAGTGGTCCAGATATTCAGGGACATCCCAGGACCCACCAAGAACCTGATTGAGCACGACTGTCCATTTCCACCACTGTCCCTATCCTCCATTGTCTCTGTCCATCAGTTTCCTTGTCCATCAGTGTCCCTGCCTTCCACTGTCCCTGTCCTCCACTCTCCCTGTCCTCCGCTATCCCTGTCCACCAGTGTTTGTCCTTTACTGTCCCTGTCCACCAGTGTCCCTGTCCACCAATGTCCCTGAGCTCAAGTGTCCCTGTTCTCCAGTGTCCCTGTCCACCCATGTCTCTGTGTCCCCATCCTCCATTGTCCCAGTCCACTGGTGTCCCATTCCATTAGTATCCCTGTCCACCGGTATCCCTATCTATCAGTGTTGTGTCCCTGCCCTCCAATGTTCCTGTCCATCGGTGTCCCTGTCCATCAGTGTTCCTGTCCATCAGTGTTCCTGTCCATCAGTGTCCCCGTCCACATCACCACGAAGAAAGAAACTCTTGAATCTTCAAGACTGAAACCTGAAACTGTCCACATGGTGGTCAGATGGGACAAAATTTGAGCTGTTTGGACAAGAAGGACATTTGGAGGAGTCCACCGCAAACACTGAACCAGCTGTGGAGCACGGTGGTGGCAGCATCATGCTGTGGTGCTGGAGTCAGAGATTCTTTACGACAATATGTTCTCAGGGTCCCAGTTACATCCAACAATAAAATGTAAAAGAAAAACAGTAACAAGATCAAAGACATGAACTAAGAAAAACATCAACTAAATATACACTAACAGCATAAAAACATTCCACCGAACAGCAGCACGAACATGAGTCTGAGTGAGCACGAATGAACACACCAACATGAAACAGATCAGCAGCAACATAACACAGATCAGCAGCAACATGATACAGATCAGCAGCAACATGATATGATTTTTCACAGTGATTATTCTAGTTAGAGATTCATGAGTCTAACAGCCTCAGGGTAGAAGCTGTTCCTCAGTCTAGTGGTTCTACACTTAATGCTCCTCAACCTCCTTCCTGAGGGGAGTGGGACAAAAAGTGTGTGTGCTGGGTGGGTGTGGTCCTTCATGATGCAGGTGGTCCTCTTCCTGCATCTGGAGGTGTAGATGTCTGTGATGGTGGGGAGACTGACTCCAACATCCGTGCAGCCTCCGGTACAGTGAAGGACGAGGACTTTGTCCTCACTCTGAGCTCACGGTGGACCTGTTGGACATATCTGGACCTGCATGTATATTTCAGACCTCTGGATAAAACAACAACAACATTAACAACGTTATTAACATTATTAACAATAATAATAATAATAATAATAAAATAATGCTAAAAATAATATTAACAACAAAAACAACTATTATTATTATTATTATTGTTATTATTATATTTTTTAATTGTTTACTAATTCTTTGTTAAAACAGAATTAGATTTTTGATCAAATTCAGTTTTTGTAAGAAGTAAATTAATAAATTCTCATAAATATTAAATAAAATCTGAAATAAAAGTTAAATAGTCTAAAGATCTTTTTTCTGTTTCTTCCTCATAAATCATAAATATTTTATAAATTTTTACCTTCAGGTTCTGGACCTGTCCACCGTTGTCCCTGTGGACAGGTTCTGTCCACCGGTGGACAGGTCCACTCGTGGATCAACAGGATCATGAGTGGACCTGATGACTCGCTTGTTACTTCCTGTCGTTAGTCCGACTCGTTGTTTCTGGCTCTGACCCGTCCAGGCCTCCAGCCAGACGGACCTGGAGAACTGGGTCACAGCGGTCCACTCGGCCGGCGCCGCCCTGATGGCCCGACGGGAGGGGAACCGGGACACGCTGCCGCTGTTGCGCCGTTGGAGCCGCTCGCTGCTGCACCGGATCGACACGGACGGGAAGATGAAGAAGATGGCTGAGCTGCAGCTGTCAATCATCCAGGAGCAGAAGAACCGCCGGGCCGTGCAGAACCAGGTCAGAGGGGACTGGGCCCATCAGAACCTCAGGGGGAACCGGGTTTTATTGAGCTCTGAACAGATCTGTGAGTGAAGCTAATCAAGTAAAAAACACAAACAGCTAAAGCTCTGACATATATGAGCTAAACTTCGGCGTGGTAGTAGTTGAGGATCCTCTCCAACCCCATCTCTGAGAGACCCCATATGTCTCTGGTCTCTGTCCTCAGATCCAGCAGTGGGAGCAGAACCTGGAGAAACTGAACCTGGACCTCTTCAGACTCAGGTGTTACCTGTCCAGCCTGCAGGGCGGCGAACCGCCGAACCCGAAGAGCCTCCTGGCCGTGGCCAGCCGGACCTCCAAGACCCTGCTGGGACGCCTGGGGGTCTTTACCGTGTCCTCCTTCCACGCTCTGGTGAGAGACAGATGGAGGGACGGGTCAGCGATGGACTGGTCTGAGACAGAAGGACAGGTCTGAGACAGAAGGACAGGTCTGAGACAGAAGGACAGGTCTGAGACAGAAGGACAGGTCCGAGACAGACGGACTGGTCTGAGACAGAAGGACTGGTCTGAGACAGGAGAACTGGTCTGAGATACTGTAGAAGGACTGGTCTGAGATAGGAGGACAGATCTGAGACAGAAGGACGGGTCTGAGACAGAAGAACAGGTCTGAGACAGAAGGACAGGTCTGAGACAGAAGGACTGGTCTGAGACAGAAGGACTGGTCCGAGACAGAAGGACTGGTCTGAGACAGAAGGACAGGTCCGAGACAGACGGACTGGTCTGAGACAAGATGGGTCTGAGACAGAAGGATGGGTCTGAGACAGAAGGACAGGTCTGAGACAGAAGGACTGGTCTGAGACAGAAGGACTGGTCTGAGACAGGAGAACTGGTCTGAGATACTGTAGAAGGACTGGTCTGAGACAGGAGGACAGATCTGAGACAGAAGGACGGGTCTGGGACAGAAGGACTGGTCTGAGACAGGACAGGTCATAGACAGACTGACTCTGACCTGTCCTTCTGTCTCTGACCTCCAGTAGACCTGAAGGTCCACTCCTGGTTCTGACAGTGAATCCGGTTCTTTGGATCCTGCAGGTCTGCAGTCGGGAGGAGGGTCCGTTGAGGCAGCGCTGCCGGTCCCTGTCAGGAGGTTCTGTGAGACAAGGCCCGATGTCCTCCCTGAAGGTTCTGAAGAGACGGAACAAACACTCAGAGCTCCAGGTAATAGGACGGAGTTCTTCTGGGTCAGAACATGAAGAACCTGTCCGGTCTTTGTGAGGTTCTGGTTCCTGATCCACTGGGCTCAGAAAACCAGGTTCAGGTTCTGAGACTTTGTGTGGTTCTGGGTTCATTTGGGCTCAGATTTATGTTTTCAGTCCTCCAGGAGGTTTGGGGTCTTGATCGGATCCTTGGAGCCGGTTCTGACCCGATGGAGGCGGGTCGAAGGTTCTGAGGTTCTGCTTGGAATCAAACCACCGACCGTCTCCACATTGTCTCTGAAACATGTTGAACATCTGGTGGGAGGAGACAGGAGGAGTCAGATGCAGGCAGGAGGAGACAGGAGGAGTCAGATGGAGGCAGGAGGAGGAGACAGGA